CGTCCCAAGCCAGTTCTTAACCAACGCGCCACTCAGCCGGCCCTTATCAACCAATTTTAATACCTGTGTATCAGGCAAATATATCCTAATTCACTTAACTGTCCTGACAAGGTTGGATGTTTTCATTTTTATATTCCCCTTATTATGTATTGCCCACTTATAAATTATAATCCAAGGACAAGCTATACATACAGCTATTTCTCTTTCTCTCTTTAAATACCTAGGATGATTTTATTAGGAAGGACTCTAAGAAGTAGAATTACTGGGCAGAAGGCATCAACATTTTCGAGGGCCTTGGATACCCTGAAATTCAGTTCCGGCTTCGGTGCTTTGCATGTGAGCGTCTCACCTGTACAAAGGGGAGAGCCCACCTGATCGTGCCCATACCGGAAGGGCGATGTCCGTGGGCTTGTCACGTGACCCGCAGTTTGTGGTGCCACCTGCCCCTGAGGTTCCCTGAGTCTATCCACTCGGCCTTCCCTGCCTCACTCAGTCTTCCCAGAGGCACACTGAGAGGCCCTTTCCTGGGAGGGACTTCTTTATATACTTAATGCTGTAGCAGGGGTTTTCTGACCTAGCGTGGGGAACTCAGAGGTCTTTATTCTTTTCCTGTTTAAACTACTGCTGCTTTCATGCTTGCTATGTCATGCTTTTGTTTTGTTAAAGTAATACTTTTTTTATAAATGTCATTACAATAAGTTTAGGTACAAAGGGGATGTGAAAAACACTTTTACCGAAGGCAGGCACTGTCAACATTATTTATTTTAAGAATAATACATAGGCTTTACGTGTTTGCTCAGGTAATTTTAAAGTCATGTGGTATCTTCAGTTGTATAGTCTGCCCTTTTTTTTTAAATAACATGTAGCATACATAAGCTTTTTTCTCATGTTTTAACTCTTATCAACAAATTTTAATAAGTTTAGATCAGGCAAATATATCCTAATTCATTTAACTAGCCTGACAAGGTTGGATATTTTCGTTTTTGTATTTCCCTAATTTTGTATTTCCCCAATTATAAATTATAATCCGAGGACAATCTATACATACAGCTATTTCTCTTTCTCTCTTTAAATACCTAGGATTATTTAATTAGGAAGGACTCTAAGAAGTAGAATTACTGGGCAGGAGGAATCAATATTTTCGAGGGCCCTGGATGTATAGTATTGAATACTCTCCAAAGAGGATATTACCTCTTAGCTGCCAGCCTCACTGTGCGTGGCATTGTCACCCAGTCTTGCCATTCGTGTCACGCTAAGATTTCAGTTTCTGGCGTACACTGAGTAAGGGTTTGGGTGAGGAAATTTTTCTCAAATTCATTTGAATGATAACTTCCCCTAATATTTTTCCTTTGAAGCAGCTCCCCATTGTAAGTATTTATTTTTTAAAGATTTTAATTAAAACCAGATATTTATTTGATGGCGGTCCCGTTGTCTTTATGTTTCTGTATTTGCTGCAGTGTCACATACAGTCGTGCTCTTCAACACATGCATTTGGATTCAGGTTAAGGCAATAGAAATGTTTTAGTGACATTTTAGCAAGGCCAGGCATCCTTGTTGATGATCTGGGAGAGTCACCCTATGCCCTGTTGTCCCCTTCCCTGAGGTTGAATAGCTGCTAGATAGAGAGAATGGGATGGTTCAGAATCCAGAATTAGAAAGACCTGGGGGACTTCAGAAAACCTGATAATTCCTTCTTTCCTTAAGCAGATGGGAATATTAGTAACAAAAACATCTAACTTTAAGTGGGCTCTAGCTAATCTTTCTAACAACCCTGAGAGGCGGTTTGGTCATCTCCCACTTGACAGACTAGCAACTGAGATTCCCAGGGGCTAATTGAGTCCAAAGCCACCCAGCTAGTAAGGTGTAGACTGTGGATTTAAATAGTGTCCATCTAGCCTCCAAATGATGTTCTTTCTTCTATACATTGTTGCCTCATTTCTATACCTGACCACATGAATCCACTTGAAAATGGGCCATGTCCTTGTGGGAAAGGGTTACAGCAAAGCAGCAATAATATGATAATTTTTGTATAACAGTTATGTGTGTATATATATACTCACAGACACACAAACACATATAGGTATATATGTATATATAGCAACACATACCTGTGTATGTGTGTGTCTTCGCACAGGTACCCATTCACATCTGGAAACTTGTTGATCTCAGTATTAAAGGTGATTTACCTTTGGCTGATGGCTTTTTTACAACCTTATATTC